GTTTGTGTGTGTATGTCTGCGAGATTGTGTGTGTGTGTGTTTTGTGTGTCATGGTTTACGTTTTGTGTGCGTATGGTATAATTTTTTACAAATCCTTCTGCAATATTTAAAATTTTACAAAGACAATTAAAAAAACTGTAATGACTCTTTCTGTCGAGAATAATATTGTTTGAATCAACTGAGCAGCAGAGTAATAAAATCGATTTAACTGTAGTAAGATATCTCGTCACAGACTTGGCCATTAAAGCGGGGAATAATAAAAATGTTATTTACACACTCACACTCACGCTTGTAGTCAAAACATAACTTTCTTTTAAATTAATGGCGGGATGACGCAGACATTAGCCGACCCATCTGCAAGTTTGTCGTTTATAACATGAAAAAAAATACAAGATGTCGATAAATTTAATGCTACAGTGGATAAAACACGTAAACAAATTGCAACAGTAGTGAGTAATATAAAATTTAAATTCATCGTCACCGCGTTCTTTAACTTCTCTTTTATCGATGACGATAGTGCAACCGCGGCGCATATCTGTAACCGCAACCCTGATGCCCGGAGCATCAGTGCTTATAACCGTGTGATTTATGACCAAGCGGGCAAATAATTTGATTATAGTATAATATTGACGGAAAATCAAATTAAGCACTGTGTTTAAAACAAATAGTACAATTGTTGGTTTTCCGTGTCTTTTTCTATTGCTACATTACGATATAATAGGCATTAATTTTGACTATATTATCATTATTATGTAAATAAAGTTGTTACGTTCACCTTGAAGTTTCAACTTAAATACTTCGGGGTACTTCAGAACTTGTAATCTTGTAGTGTTGTTATTGAAATAAAAAAAAAACAATGACGTAAAGAAAATGCAGGTATTTGAAAAAAACTAGTAATAACAAAACACATGTATTATATAAGTAAGACTTCTCTGGGAAAAGGGAAGCCGTCAAGATTATTTAAAGTTTATTGACCCGTAATCTTGCTTTAAATTGGTTAACCGTTATCATTTTTGATTTCAATTTTTTTTTTTTTTATTACCACATATAAAAAATTCTAAACATAATTAATATTAAAGCTCAATTGTAGATGTAAAAAGTGAGCTCGCAAGAATCATATCCCACCTTTAGTACTAGGTACCATCGATTAGGACATTGTACGAGTATACCATAGTGTGGTAATTTGATAGCCATGGGTCTGATGGTATTACCTTTTTTAGAACTTAGCAATTTCGTTTTTTTTTTATGTCAAAAACCTAACGTTTGTATCGAACAACATTGCCTTCCTCTGAAAAATAAAACATGCTTGATGCATATATTATCATTATTTTCATCATCATCCTCATCAACAGCCAGTAATTATCCACTGCTGGAGATAGGCCTGTCCTATGTAGGAGGTTTTGGGCTATATATTATACAATCCAAATATTATAAATAACTCATCCAATTACTGTCAAAAAAAAAAACACTCCGCGTTGATGTCTTTTAAATAGGAATAATATGACAGCTCTTGATTTATATTTGTTTCGGTAACTATTCACTAGATTTTCTTAATTTATTTTCTGCAAATTATTATATTCTGTCTGAAAAAAAAAAAAGATTCCGTCCCCCAGGAGGGTCGGCGTTAAACAGGGTGTCAGTCATATTAGAAACCAGTTAAACCTTTAGCTATATTACATATTGCAGGCACCCTTATTAAAATTGTAGGAAAGTGATATTAATGATAATGATTAAATGGCTATTGTGCACTTTACTTAAAACACAAAGATACTTATCATTTACATTTTTGAGTTATTATACGAGTACATACATTAATTTTAACAAGTTAGAATAATGAACAGTAATAAACTTAATATGCGTAATGGTAATTACTTCTGTATCATTATTTACTGCAATTAGATTCTTTATCATTATAAATTGTAATTAAATTCTCTCTTTACTTAATTTACTTAAATTTCTATTTGAAATTAATTGTTTAATAGGTACTTTTAGGGCTAAACTAAGTAAGGCGTCTATGCTATAGAAACTAACCCTACAGTAGTCATATAAAACGAAAACAAGCCACTTTATCTAGTGGTTAGTGATCTTGACTGCTAAGCCAGTGGTAGTGGGTTCGATTCTTACTCAGGGTAAATGATTGTGTGATAAGCATGGTCATTTGTTCCGTGTCTGGATGTACTTTATCTATGACTAGCTTTTGCCCGCCCGCGTAAATATCGGTCATCGCGGTAGAGACCGTATGTTGACGGATTAAGAATACAGAGTGTCACCACCCCTATTCATCCCGTGGGTGTCGTATGAGCCGACTAAGGAAAAATAAAGCAGAACAATAACACTGTACAGAGAAGGAAAACCTGACACAAACCCTATGTCAACCCGTCTGGCCAGCGTGGTATAGTAAGGCCAAAACCTCCTTTCTAAGGAGAGGTCTATGTCCAGCAGTGGACTATTAAAGGCTGTTGATGTGATGATGATGTTGATGTGTGCGCCATAGAGTAGCCTATGCCTTTCCTGAAGAGTTAAAGTATCTTTATACTAAATTTCATCTAAATCAGTTCAGCGGTTACTGATTCCTCATAGTACCTTCCACCCCCCTTTTCACCCGCTTAAAGGATGATTTGGGATAAAAACTACCCTATGTCCTCTACCCGGGATCGGTTCAGCGGTTCAAGCGTGAAGAGGTAACAGACAGACGGATACATACATTTTCGCATCCATAATATTAGTATGGATATATATTCACATCCCTCCACACGCATACTTCCCCTGTTTTCTGTTACACATTTCCGTCCCATTTTATTAAATCTTTTAAACATGCTGCAGGAAAGTGAGAAGGTAATCCTACACACCAAAAATAATGACCCTATAACTTATTTCAAATTTATATATATTTTTAAAGGTAATCGAAAGTCAAAAATAATTACTGTCATTATAACAGGTCAAAAATAATTACTGTCATTATACCAGGTCAAAAATAATTACTGTCATATCTACTGTTGATACGGTTATTATAAAATGTTTTTAGTTAACAAATCTGATAGCAATTAGATCAAGTCTCAAATACGGTTTTTCAACCGTATTTTGAGACTTGAAAAAGTATATTTTTGTATGTTGTGTTTTTAATCATATTTAATTTTACGACTTGTAGTTAAGATGAACTCGAAGTTGTAATCTAGTACTTCTTGATTTTTTATTTAACTTTATACACAAATAAAAGCATCGACGGACTTAATCTGTACAAATAAATAAAATTGAAGTGTCTGTAATGTCAAAATTATAGGTTTTTTTCATGCTCACACGGTTATTTGCACGATACCCTCGCCTAAAAACCAGTTTAATTTTTTTTGTCTCTCTGTATATTTGTGCCGGGTAAACTAAACGGCTAGACCAATTTCAATAATATTTTATTCCCAGGTAGCTGTCTAGCAGCGCTTTTCAAATTCCAACGAAGTCGCGGGTACCCAGTTAGTAATAAATAAAGGAATACAAATTTTGAATCCTCCAGAAAGTAAATTCTTTGTAAAAAAATCATGCATAAATCATATAATATAATCATATAATATACTAATGCATGTTTACTCGTATATTCTCTGAAATCAAATATCATCATCATCACTATGATCATCATCTTTTTGTCCTTTTGGGGTTCGACGCAATTTGTAATATTGCAAACGGTTTTGTCTGTTTTTTTCTTTGCCTACTTCATAACAAGAATTATATACTCAATAAAAAATTCAAAATCATGGTCTTAGACAATTGAGGTATTAAATTAAATTAAGTATGTGTGAGAATTTGCTCTAAACATCAGATTCGAACTTGTGACATTGACATTTAAAAGAGTTATATACTCAATAAGAAATTCATAATCATGGTCTTAGACAATTAAGGTATTAAATTAAATTACGTATGTGTGAGAATTTGCTCTAAACATCAGATTCGAACTTGTGACATTGACATTCAATTGTTAAGTTCAGACGAAACAAAGCTCTCTTTGTTGAATCATAGAAGAACCATATCCTTAAACCAATAATTTAGTTATTTATTTAAGTTACACGCCTACATGCTGCCAAATTTATAGAAACAAATAAAGTGTAACAAATACTTATAGGTGAATACGACGTCGGGCACGCCGTCAGCGCGGCGGTAAGACCCGACTGACGCAGGTGATCACTGGGAAAGGATGTTTCGGGGATCACCTGTGTCTGATCCGCAAGGAGCCAACGCCTGAGTGCCACCACTGCGATGGCCAGAACGTGGACACGGCTCTCCACACGCTGGCAGAGTGCCCGGCGTGGGTTGAGCAGAGGCGAGACCTCGTGGCGGCCATCGGAGTGGGAGTTCTCTCGCTCGATAGCCTGATTGCGGCTATCGTGCGGAGCGAGAGTGCGTGGAACTCTGCCGTCTCCTTCTGCGAGCAAGTTATGCTCGCGAAGGAGACGGCGGAGCGGGACCGGGAGAGGTTTAGGACTCTCCCGGCCCGCCAGGCCCGGGAACGGGCCAGGTACCGCAGGCGACTCAGGCGACGGAGGAACATGGGGTTCCCACACGGGGGGTCGTCTACTCGTCTGTACATGACCCGAGGTATGTCGGTCCACCAGGGACTTCCTTTCTAGGGTATACCTGGTTCCCCGGCTATTAGTATCCGAGACGGCGTGCGGTTTTAGTCGGTTCGAGTCCGACATGCCACCGACAGGTGGTATCCGAGGGGATTTCCGCACGGAAAAAAAAAGGTGAATACGACGTGTACTGATTTGTCACTTTTTATATACAAAAGAAGTAAACTAAAAACTAACAAAATAATTTAAAATATGAAAAATTTGCTCCTTTATTTATCTTTATAATTTTAAAACAAACAACTTTTTTTTAAGTCATTGGTCCTCTGCGCCCTACACTACGTTTGCCTTATCACGGTCACCACTCCAGCACATTTCGGCTCCAGCAACTAAAATTCAATTTATTTTTTTCGAAAAATGTAGTAAATTTTATTATTTATTTCCCAGATCCTCGTGTCCAAGGATGGTTCCTCTTCGACACTCCGCTGCCTACGCTGGCAATGGTACTTGTCTACTTGGCGTTCGTGATGATAGCCGGACCCCTGTGGATGGCGAACCGCAAACCGTTCCAAATAAAGAATACATTAGTCGTGTACAACTTTGCGCAAGTGTTACTGTCCTCCTATATGTTTTATGAGGTAAGTTATAATGTAGAAAAGTTGATTTTTGAAAGTTTTTGAATTTGAATTTTGTTTTTAATTGACACAAAAAAGGAAGTAGTTTTTAAAATATACGAAATATGTTTTATGTATGTTTTCTTCAATATTAAAAAAAATAATTGATGAAATTTTATGGTGGGATCTTTCAAAAATTTATTAAATCAAGACGACTATCTAAAGGTAAACGCTCATTCAGAGCGTTTACCTTTAGATGGTTTATACTTTCTTAAATTTAGTACTGAATAGTAAGAATAAGACTTGAGAAATAGAACAGGAAAATGTGCTATAACAACAAATATTTAAAAATGTAAAAACAAAAACAGAAAAAAAGACAAGAGTGATTAGTACAGAATGCAAGTGTGGCGATTATGAGCTTGAACAGAGTTTGTTTATTACACTTTTTATGATTTCGAAAATTCTTTTACCCATGGACAGCTATATTATTAGCGAGTAACTTAAGCTGCCTTTTACTGCGATAACCGCCATACACGCGGGTGGAGCCGCGGGCAAGAGCTAGTCATCAATATTTCTATATTTTTTTTTGCAAGTATGATTATATCTAAAGAAATTGATTTGTCCTTCCTCAAGAATCAAAATATCTTCATGCCAAATTTGAATAAAATCGGTTAAGCGGTTTAGCCATGAAAGCGTAACAGACAGAGTTACTTTCACACTTATAACATTATTAGGGATAGAAAAATAAAATTTGGCCGGTTTATAACTCTCCTAGATGCCTTTCAACTAAAGGACTTACATACAAGTACATAATCTCAACCCCTTTTAGTTACTACAGTCTTAGTTCGTGTGGTGACGGATTAAGAATAAAGATTATCACCACTCCTGTTCATAACTGTGGGGTTTATTGAAGTCGACTAAGGAAGCTAACTACGCAGGACATTACCACTGCAAAGAGAAGGAAAACTTGAATAAACCATATACATACATTTAGAGATTTCAATGGTGCCTTTTTATGATAAAGTAACCTCTTACGTCAATGTTGCATCTACAACGACGCTAAAAACTAGCCGGGTATCCAAAATGCTCATATAACATTTTAATGTGAGGGATCGTTACAGAAATTATTTCTCTGAAATGTAACAGTTTAGTTTCAAGCATTACATCAGTGAGTGAGAAGAACCATGCATTCGCAACTGGTAATTATAGTTTGTAACATGAGTGGTAAAAAATTGAAAAATAAATGCATTGGTATGCATACTATTCATCGTTTCTTTTACTTTTTTTCCGTAAATTACCCAACCGAATTAGTGTTGCCGCACTCAGTAATATTCTGGGGCCGACATCGTAAAAACTATTGCAGAAGAACGATAATAATCGAATCTTAGATTGTTACACTTTATGTGAATGCTTATCAGATTGCACGGTATTGTTTGCAATTATCGAGACCTTGTAACAAAGTGTAAATACTCGTAACTGCTAACACTTTAGGTGAATGCTCATCAAATTGCACAGGAATCTAACCCGACAATTATTGCAACCTTACAAAACAAAGTGTAAGAATCTTCTTACACATTAGGTGACTCCCAGATTACGTGATGGTCGGCAGATAGTAGTTCAGTAAATAAGGTGCTGCAGTATTAATTGTATATATATTAAATACATTTCAGTACAATAATAGGTAGTCTTATCATTAATGGCGATCTCTTACAGTCAACCTTTATACGGATATTGACAATTGAATTTTAAATTAGGGTAGCCTGTGATGTACTATTACAATATATTGCAAATAATGAATAGTTAAATAAAAATAAAATCATATATACGTTTACAGTATACATACAATATTATATAATTACATACATACAGAAATCCATAAATACACAAATTTCTCTATAATGTAAAGATTATAGATATATTATTATAAAATAAAAAAGTTTAGTTGGATATTTCTTGCTCAAGCATGCAAGATTACTGCATAGTCTAGATGAAAGGGGAATGCCCACTCCCCATAGACACTTTGGCCCTAGGTGCACACATATAAAAGCATATGGAAATGATAATATACAATTTAAAGAATGAAATGTTTAAGGAATTGGTATTAAAAAAAGTCGGGATTTTTAAGATATAAAATGATTTTAATTTTCAGAAATAATTACAGTTTTTTTTCTTATTTATCATTTTATTGTTATTTTCACATACAATATCAAGTTATATGTAGTTCTTAGGTATTTTATGATCATACACCATTTGTGTCTTGTTTCCATATTCTGATGAACTATTTCTAGTATTTGCAACTGAAACAATAATTAAACCATAAATGAAGTAAACGAAATCAAATTAAACTAGATAAATGGTTAGAACAATACAGCCCACTGGGCTAAACAACTATGTTAACATGAAAAAACTTTTACATCATATACTTTTATTCCAGTGCATTGATGTAAACACACCAGCTAGTTTGCGGCTAATCCATAACCAATACTTTATATTAAATGTGAAAGTAGTGAAAGTAGAAATTAAAAACTGTTATACACTTACCTCACGTGGTGCAATCTGTTGCACAATCACATTCCTTATGAGTTCCTCACGTGGAGAATCAGAACAGAGTGAGTGTGATCTTATTCTCAAAAGTGACCTGCCACAGCTGATGCACACAAGTCCATGGCCAACAATCGGTGCAATCTGCTGTTCACTAGTTGGATTTCGTATTTCATTCCAGGCTGCAATCCAACACGAGTGGCACACTACATTTTCACTCGAAACTTGTACCTAATAATAGATGCCATTATTATTAGATATTGATATTATTTTAAGTCATCTCAGCTAAAAAGCATTTCTAATAGGAAGAAATGTCATGGATTAACTATTTACCTGCTGTGGTCGAACCCATTGTTGTATTAGATTTCGAACTTCTTCTATTTCCAACAAATCTCTTCGCATCTGTGTGACGTTTATACCACAATTGACACAGCGTGAATGTCCTCTTGAAAGAGTTACTGTGGGCTGTGAAGAACTCTGGCCGGTGTGAGAGCTGGGGTCATCATTTTCAATGGATATTGAGTCCAAGTTCGTGCGGGAGTTATCGTGAGAAGCGGGAGCGAGATCCATGTTCAGGCCGTGGTCAGTAGGGTAAGAAAAATTGTCGAAGTCCATTTAGAAAGCTTATTAGTTGTAAGAAAACAAACAAATAATAGAAATGCAAATGAAGTTGTGATTTCACGTAATGGTGACAGATTGTGTCCTTGCATTCGATGTTGCCACTTAACAGCCATAAAATCGGAAATGGTTATCGATTATTTGTAAAATATAATTTCATATGAAATAATAATCTACGAGGTGCCTTTAAATTCTGTACGCCTTTTAGTTGTTTTTTAAATTATATCTATCTATCTATATTAATGTATTTTGTTATATCTTAAAAGTATTTTTAAGAACAGATAAGAATGACAATTAAATTGTACAGTAGCGTCTTTGCTATGATTTAAAGAGTTTATGGTAATTCAACTAGCAATTCGCTTATATTATTATCGTAACATCATAGTCATTAACGAAATAAGGAATATTAATTTATTATTAATTTATTTTACGCGCTCTTGAGGAGACTCAAGGCATCTTTCCTGACTTGATTATGGTAATCAGTTAGTGTCTGTTGTATTCCGCCGTTTATCTGCTAAAAAATTAATTTAAGGGTTTTGCATATGAAGTTTTTGTGTATTAGTTTAAATTAATGTAATTTAATTTAACTTTTGTTACATCCTTATGGGCTCAGGATTATGCCTAAAATAAACAATAAATAAATAAATAATATTAGCACCAACACAATGAAATCATAATAATTCCCGAAAATCGAATAATATAGCTATAAAATAATGGCTGTGTTTGGCAGAAAATAGCGCTAGGAAGCGCTTACTAGCGCTGACACAGTTTTCGGCCAGGACACGTTTTCTAACTTCAGTAGCGCTGACACAATCCGCCATTTTGCTTATTTATTTTGTTTGTTTTAAAAGTAGAATTTATAAGATGTTTTGTGCAAGTAATATTAAAATAAATAATAATGTCAGTCCAAAATATAGTAAAATATATGTGTCACTTGACAGCGCTTTCCGCTTAGCGATCGCCATTTTGCTTACAAGCGCTTCCTAGCGCTATTTTCTGCCAAACACAGCCGACATCATAAATAATAATAATCGCTTCATAAATAATCGATTTTTTGAACGAAATTAGTAATTGGGAACACTTAATATTTTGCCAGAAACCAATGAAATACGGATTAACGTAATTTCACTTTTATCTTTTCGGTGCTTTTATTTTCTGTTTAAATGTTGCAGACCTGTCAGGATAAATGAATACCCCAATTAATAAACAGAAAATAAGATGTTTTTTTCTAAAAAAAGCAAATTGTTGTGCGTTTCATGGCCGAAAATGGGCATTCCCCTTTGTCACCTTCTCCCGGTCGTATGCTTCATTGCTGTAGGTCGTGTCCACAACGTCCAGTCTTCATAATGTTATAGATTTACCCTCATAATAAAGATTAGCGATTGTTGCCGCTAGATGTTTAGGAACACCCATCTCCAGTAGAACTCCCCACAACTGGTCCTACCGCATACAGTTGAATGCGGATAATAAATGAAATACATCAGCATTGGTTTGCACAATTCACGGCTCTTTTCGCTGGATGTCTGACATTAACAATTTGTTCCCTTGTGCCGCGTCCTTTGATAGATCCTGCCTGCTCATAAATATTGTCGTAGAGATAGAAATATTGTCTTTCACATAGACTTATGATGACAAAATTTATTGACAAAGTCGACAGTACCGTTTCGCTTTTGTAGTTACATCTTATAAAGTAAGATGAAAGAGTTATTTCATACCAAACATTGACATAAAAGGTCTTGGTACAGATATAAACGGCAATTATACGCTAACAATGAGAAGTCATCGGCTGATCAATTGTTCCACACAATCGCTCATGAATCGCACGGCATTTCGCAACTGGTCAAGGTGGCTTGACAATTTTATGA